TAAAATAGGGGTTGAAGACAGATGTGTTCTTTGAAATGACTGTTATTCTCAGGATAGTTCCTACCTTGAGATGCTATTATCACTTAAAATACTTTCTGAACTTTGGTAATTTCTTTCATAATTCATTCCCAGTCGTTTCAAATAGTTAAGGACAGTTATTTCAGTGGAGACAGAGTTTTGGAAAGAGTTTAAGAGCTCTTTTGAACTAATAAGTGATAATAGCAAGGTGGCACGATATAAAGTTAATGTACAAAAATCAATTGCTCTCATATACCAGTAATAAACAAGGGAAAATTGAAATTAAAAACGTATCATTTATTAGCACCCCAAAAGTGAAATACTTAGGTATAACTCATAAAATATATATAAGAAATATATGAGATAAACTACAAACCTGATGAAGAAAATTTCATGTGCATCGATAAGAAGCTTGAGTATTGTCAAAATGTGAGTTCTTCCAGCTTCATCTACAAATTCAGTGTAATCTTTTTCTTTTTTTTTTGTTTTTTTTTGTTATTTTCCTTTACATCCATATTCTTTTTTTTTTTTGTTTTTTTTTTGTTTTTTTTTTGTTTTTTTTGTTTTTTTTTTTTTGAGACAGAGTCTCACTTTTGTGCCCTGGCTGAGGAGTGCCGTGGCGTCAGCCCAGCTCACAGCAACCTCAAACTCCTGGGCTCAAGCGATCCTCCTGCCTCAGCCTCCCAAGTAGCTGGGACTACAGGCATGCACCACCATGCCCGGCTAATTTTTTTTTTTTTGTTATATATATTTTTTTAGTTGGTCATTAATTTCTTCTATTTATAGTTAGAGACGGGGTCTCGCTCAGGATGGTTTCGAATCCCAACCTCGAGCAATCCGCCCGCCTCGGCCTCCCAGAGTGCTAGGATTACAGGCGTGAGCCACCGCCGCCCGCAACCATCCATATTTCTACCAACACCAATGCAATCTCGATCAAAATCCCAGCAAGTTATATTTTAGATACTCACAAACTGATCCTTACATTTTATGGAGAGGTAAAAGAGCCAAAATAGCCGACACGATATTGAAGAGAACAAATCGGAGGACTGACACTACCCAACTTCAAGACTTACCGTAAAGCTACAGTAATCAAGACAATGTAGTATTGGTGAAAGAACAGATAGATCAATGGAATAGAAATGGGAGCCCAGAGATAGACCCACATAAATATAATCAATTGCTCTTTGACAAAGAAGCAAAGGCAACACAACAGAAGAAAGATAACCTTTCAAAAATGGGCTGGTACAATGATAGTGGATTATCAGAACTTAGTGTCGCTAAAGTTGGTATACAACCCTCCACTGCTAATTTGATTAGCTGCCAGAAAAAGTGCTGGGCTGGGCGTGGTGGCTCACGCCCTGTAATCCTAGCACTCTGGGAGGCCGACGTGGGTGGATTGCTCGAGATCAGGAGTTCAAAACCAGCCTGAGCAAGAGTGAGACCCCGTCTCTACTATAAATAGAAAGAATAGTCAGGCATGGTGGCACATGCCTGTAGTCCCAGCTACTTGGGAAGCTGAGGCAGGAGGATTGCCTGAGCCCAGGGTTTGAGGTTGCTGTGAGCTAGGCTGATGCCACGGCACTCACTCTAGCCTGGGAACAAAGTGAGACTCCATCTCAAAAAAAAAAAAGAAAGAAAAGAAAAAGGTGCTGAAACAACTGGACATGCACAAGTAAAAAATGAATCTAGACATTGACCTTAGACCCTTCACAAAAATTAACTCAAAATGGGCCGGGCGCTGTGGCTCACGCCTGTAATCCTAGCTCTTGGGAGGCCGAGGCAGGCGGATTGCTCAAGGTCAGGAGTTCAAACCAGCCTGAGCAAGAGCGAGACCCCGTTCTCTACTATAAATAGAAAGAAATTAATGGCCAACTAGATATATATAAAAAAAATTAGCCGGCATGGTGGCGCATGCCTGTAGTCCCAGCCACTCGGGAGGCTGAGGCAGAAGGATCACTCGAGCCCAGGAGTTTGAGGTTGCTGTGAGCTAGGCAGACGCCATGGCACTCCTCTCAGCCTGGGCAACAAAGCGGAGACTTGTTCAAAAAAAAAAAAAAAAATTAACTCAAAATGAACCACAGACTTTAAAGTGCAAAGCTATAAAAACTCCTGGAAGATAACATAGGAGAAAATCTATGCGACCTTGGGTTTGGCTATGACTTTTTAGATATACCACCAAAAGCATGATCCGTGAAAGAAACGATAAACTGGACTTCATTAAAATTAAAAATGGGCTGTCATGGTGGCTCACATTGGTAATCCCAACACTCTGGAGGCAGAGATGGGAGGATAACTTGAGGCCAGGCTGCAGTGAGCTGTGATTAAGCCACTGCACTACAGCCTGAGCAACAGAGCAAGAGTGTCTCAAAAAATTTAAAAATGTAAAAACTTCTGCTTTGTACATGACACTTTTAAGAGAATGAAAAGAGAAGCCACAGACTGGGAAAAAATACTTGCAAAATACATATCTAATACAGGACTTATCCAAAATATACATAGAACTCCTAAAACTCAACAATAAAACAACTCAAGTAAAAAATAACCCAAAGACCTCAAAAGGCACCTCATCAAAAAAGGCCTGAGTACGGTGGCTCATGACTGTAATCCTAGCACTCTGGAAGGCAGAGGTGGGAGGATTGCTTGAGGTCAGGAGTTCAAGACCAGCCTGAGCAAGAGCAAGACCCTACCTCTACTAAAAAAAGTTATAAAGATACAGAGATGGTAAATAAGCATATGGAAAAATGCTCCACATCATATGTAATTAGGGAAATGCAAATTAAAACAATGAGATGCCACTGTACACCTGTTAAAATAGCCAAAATCAGAACACTAACATCACCAAGTGCTGGGAAGGATGTAGAACAACAGGAACCTTCATCTATTGCTGGTGGGAATGCAAAATGGTACATCCACTTTGGAAGACAGTATGGTGATTTCTTACAAAAATAAACATATCCTGGGCAGGTGTGGTGGCTCACGCTTGTAATCCTAGCACTCTGGGAGGCCGAGGCAGGCAGATCCTTTGAACTCAGGAGTTGGAGACCAGCCTGAGCAAGAGTGAGACCCCATGTCTACTAAAAAAAAAAATAGAAATTAGCTGGGCAACTAAAAATATATAGAGAAAAAATTAGCCAGGCATGGTGGTGCACGCCTGTAGTCTCAGCTACTTGGGAGGCTGGGGCAAGAGGATTGCTTGAGCCCAGGAATTTGAGGTTGCTGTGAGCTAGGCTGACGCCATGGCACTCTAGCAATGGAATGAGACTGTGTCTCAAATAAAATAAAATAAACATATCCTTATCATATGATCTAGCAGTTGTGCTCCTTGGTTTGGTATTTACCCACGGAGTTGAAAATCTAGCCACCCAAAAAGCTGCACACAGATGTTTATGGCAGCTTTATTCATAATTGCCAAAATGTGGAAGCAACAAAGGTGCACTTCAGGTGAATATCTAAATAAACTGTGGTACATCCAGATAGTGAAATATTATTCGGCACTAAAAAGAACTGAACTATCAGGAAATAAGATGAAGGAAACATAAATTCATATTACTAAATGAAAAAAACAATCTGAAAAGGCTACATACTGTGATTCTATAATAACTACATGGCATTCTGGAAAATGCAAAACTCTGGAGACAGTAAAAAGATCAGTGGTTGTCAGAGGCTAAGACAGAGGGAGAGATAAATAAGCAGAGCACAGAGGATTTTTAGGGTAGTGAAACTACTCTGTATGATACTATAGTGTTAGGTACATGCCATTATAAATTTGTCCAAACTCATAGAATGGACACCATCAAGAGAGAACCCTAATGTAAACTGTAGGCCTTGGGTGATAATGATGTGTCAGTGCAGGTTTATCAGTTATAACAAATGTACCACTGTAGGGAATGTTGATAAAGAGGGAGGCTATGCATGAGTAGGGGCAAGAGGTATATGGGAAATCTCTGTGCCTTTCACACAGTTACTGTGAACCTAAAACTGCTCTAAATAAAGTCTATTTAAAAAAAGCCATTTGGGGCCGGGTGCTGTGGCTCACGCCTATAATCCCAACACTCTGGGAGGCTGAGGCGGGCGGATTGCTCAAGGTCAGGAGTTCGAAACCAGCCTGAGCAAGACCCCATCTCTACTAAAAATAGAAATTAATGGACAACTAAAAATATATATACAAAAAATTAGCCGGGCATGGTGGCACATGCCTGTAGTCCCAGCTACTAGGGAGGCTGAGGCAGAAGGATTGCTTGAGCCTAGGAGTTTGAGGTTGCTGTGAGCTAGGCTGACGCCAGGGCACTCACTCTAGCCTGGGCAACAAAGTGAGACTCTGTCTCAAAAAAAACCCAAAAACATTGGCTTCCTTGTTCTTCCTCTAATATGTCAAGACATTTGTGTTTTAGAGCTTTTGCACTTATTTCTGCCAGCATATTCCACTCCCTCTACCCCATACCTGCTTGTTTACCTTTTTCTTGAATGTTCAGAGCAAGTATCAATTTCCTTGGAGAAGTCTTCTTGAGTCACCATAGCACCATTCTCACTCATATACTGGTGTGCAGCACCCCTGCCCCATGCTTCATATTTCTTTATAAAATTTATTAGTGTCTGAAATATACTTGTTTGTGGACTCCTTCCAGTAAGCCCCCAGAGGGAAGGTATTTTGTGTTTCTGTTAGCCCCCCAATGTTTAGAACAGAACTTGGCATAGGATGTTCAACTTTTTGTTGACTTAGTAGACATGAATTTGACAAAACAGCTTTTTTGCCCCAAGAAATGAGTCTAATGGGGAGACATAATTAAAATACAATTGCATGTGTTCAGTGGGAACATAGGATTCTCCAAATCTGCCCAGAGGATTTACCTAGGGCAGGCACATACAATGAAATGGTTATTTTGAAGCTGTGCTAATTAAGTTAATAGATCTAAGGCTTTTGTAACCTTTAATGAATTGTGCAATTTTAAGATTGTATCATAACTTGGGAAAGTTATGTCATTTACTCTTTCCTTGCCCCGAAAATTTCACGGGGAAATTTTTCGTTTCACTTCATTTATTTCCTTTTCCCATCCAAATGGTCAAGCGGCTATGAATGGTATCGTCCAAAATGAGCGTGAAATGGTGTTCGGACTATGAGCCTGCGTAGCGGTGAATGGCTCACTGGAACCAGCGCATGCGCATCTTTTGTGTGCGGCACGATGGCTACCAGCCATTTTGTCCCGCGTCGGTGCCCTAAGGAGTTGGCGGCGACAGCAGGCGCTGCCAGTGCCACGGACTAACAGTGACCTCTCGGCGGTGGGAATTTTCCGGTCCTGTTGTGTGACCTGAACAGCACCAAGACAGCTACGCAGCTAGGAAGCAAAAGGTCGGGGCAGGGCGGAGCGATGGAGCCCCTCCCTCTAGCCTCTCCTTAGTTTGACCAGCTCGCTTGCCCTTCCCTCCCAGTCCCGCTACACGCTGATCTGCTGCGCAGGCGCACAAATAATCGGAGCGCTTCCCTGGCCCTTGGGCCTTGCGAGATTCTGCGCGCGCTTCTCGTTCTCCACCCTTGATTGGTGGGATTGCCCCGCCATCACGCCTCCCTCTGCTTTCAAGGTTGGGAAGGAAGCGGGGGGCGGGGCCAAGCAGCGCGTGCGCGATACTGTTGCTGTTCCTTTGCTGCTATTGCGTTGCAAAAAAAAATCCTGACTAGGTAGCTTTGGGCCTTTTCTGTGCTAGAGAATCTAAAGGAGAGAGAAAAATTTCTGCAACTGAAGGGGCAGTCGGGTAGTATTAAATTTAATATATTAACGCCCGGCTTGGCTCACAGGATTGTGGGGATAGGGGTGGGGAAGGGCCTCAGGGTTGAGAGCCGAAGAATATAAAAACCATTCGTTTCGGGGCCAGGCGTTTTGAAAGGCTTTGCAGGTCCTGCGTAATTCTTCCTTGATTACAGACTGGTTTAAACACGACCCCTTTAACAATATTGATAAACCTTCGAAACCCGCAGCCCCTCCTTGCAGCGTGTAGGAGCCGCCAGCGTGCCCAGCAACTGGTCTTCGCGTCGGTACCTCCAGAAGAGCTTAGCGCGTGCACCATCCCCACCCCCTGGCCTCCCTCCCCACCTCCGGCTTTCACGCACTCGCAGTGATTGTTTTGCCCGCTCCCGCCGCCGCCGCCGCCGCCGCGGCCGCCAGAGCAGCAGCAGCGCTTGTGCAAACCGGGAAGATGGCGGCCGGCGGCGGCGGAGGCAGCAGTAAGGCCTCCTCCTCGTCGGCCTCTTCGGCAGGGGCTCTGGAGTCCTCGTTGGATCGAAAATTCCAGTCGGTAACCAACACCATGGAATCCATTCAAGGCCTGTCGTCTTGGTGTATAGAGAACAAGAAACACCACAGTACTATCGTCTACCATTGGATGAAGTGGCTCCGGAGATGTGAGTGTTGGGGGTGACTAGGGAAGGGAAGACTAGGGAAATGGGAGGAAATACGGCATGAAACGCTTGGGTTCTTCCCACGGAGCCACTGCATTCAGTTTGGGTTGTTCACTTTAAAGCTTTGACCTGGGTGTTCCCAAACCCAGACTCCATTCCTAGCCAAGGGTTGTCCTGAACTTCAGGAGGTTCGTTTCTTGGATTTTTAAGCTATTGACTTCGTGTGACCTTGGGCCGTTGGGCCAAGATCCATAGAGGTTTACATATTCTTTCATTTTAGAACCTTGTAATATGGTATGTTACTGATTTTACGGAAATTGTCGGCGTCCGTTTATTTGTTTATTTCTTAGAGGCCTTGATGTGTTAATAATTTCTGGTTTTCCTGATGGTAGACAAGCTATGGTAAGCAGTAGTAAATCCAGCCACTTCGCTAGAATATGTTGGACCATTCTGTATTTTCCGCTGACTTAAAACTTGTGATGTGTAATAAGGAAGGCCTCATCTGGATGAATGTACCTGAAACTTGTGATCTGTAGAAAGGAGGGCCTCACCTGGGTAAATGTTAAGTAGAAGCAACATGAGCTCTGCACAGATCTCAGGCGACCACCAGGTTTCCCTGTACCTGTTGTTTACTGCAGTAAAATACAGGTTTCTTGAATACTGACCAGAAACAACTGTGGTACTGTAGTCAGTGTCATCACTAATACCTTATAAATGTAAAACATATCCGGCTACTTTTTAACTACCTGAAATACCTTTTAACAAAATTGAATTTCATTTCATAGGTAATCAAAATAGGAAATGTGCTTTTTGAATATATAGTATATTTTCCCCGTTATTCTTTTTTTTTTTTTATTCATCCTGAAAATTTTTCTACTTTTCCTCTTTTACTGCAAAAAAGAGATCTGTTAAAGCATGGATTGTTTGCAAAAGAGTTCACAAATCTTATAGGAGGAAATGTGGAGAAGTCACTGTTGCTTCCTGCTGGGAAGAAAGGGTTAACCCTTACTCCAGGTATATCTGTTTGAATTTTAGTTTGCTTCCTGCGTGTGGCATGTCACCAATGAGACCCATCATCCAGTTATTCTTTCTTCTTTTTCCACTTCTGCCATTGCCCCTGTAGTATCTTGATTTGTTTACCTTTTTGGGAGCAGATAGATAAACCTTGCAAAATTATAGGCTCCAATCTTCAAACCAATTGTATTTAAAGTTGTTGGGAGAAATGTTTTGTGGTTCTTTGAGTAATAATGTTTAGTTATTAGAGACAAGACAAGATTACCTGTATTTACCAATAGTAGATCAAATAGTTACTTTCTTGCCAAAAGGTAAAATTAGAATGTGCAATATCAAGTGTACTAATAGTCATTATCAAACACTCTCACATGTTAAGTATCTGTTATGTGCTCAGCTATCTCATTAAGTCTTAAAATATACCTTAAGATCTACTGAGAAGTAGATAGTTTAATCACTGATTTATAAAGAGGAAACTAAGGCTCAGAAATGTTAAGTTGCTTAAGGTTATTCAGTAAAATAGTGGAGTAAGGATTTGACTTTACCATTAAGTTTGTAAAATAATGTTTAATATGCTTCATACACCACTAATAGCAAGCAGTTCTAATGTGAGCTTGAAAACATATTCTCCAGCCAGTTTTAAAACATTTTTACTAAATTATGCAAGCATTTTACATTTTCTCACCTTTGGGCTCTGGTGTTAACTGTATGGTTACATCATTTGCAAAAATAGGTGGTTCCCATCCCTGCCTTGTGGGATCACAAGCTAATTCAACTGATCGCATCTGGACATCTTGATTCTCTGGTAGTTTAGTGCCAGTTGCAAGCAGAGTGTCCAGAAGTTGAGTTAGGACTTAATGAGACTAGAAAGGAAGATGGAAAGTTGGGTTGCAGAATTTCAAAAGGAGATCACTATAGAAACTAGAGTGACAATTACAATATTTTTTCTAGTCAGCAATAATGAAATATACTGAAGCCAGAATTTTTTTGCCTCTACTGTTGATATTGTGCTTGAGCTTATTTCTTTTGTTGATATCTTAAGAGTGGAAAAATGATTGCTCTATGAAGGCAATACTTCATTTGAAGGGCATTCTATATAGTTTATATAGTTAAGTGCTTTAGCTTTCTAAAACCTTGATGTTGTTTTTCTAATGGTGTAGAATTTAACTTTCTAAAATGGTTAATGGTAATTTGTAGTTGTTTTGTATTTACATTTAATGAACATCACTTATCTTAAATAGAGCCTTTTGAGGGAAATATTCAGCAGAGTGGTGAAGAGCAGAATGAAAATATAATAGTTTATGCATTGGGCTTCGTTTTCGTTTAATTTCATATTTCTTTACGGTTTGACTTACTTTAGTTTGAATTTGGCAATATTTGAGCTTCAGGCAAAATTGTGAAGTAGGTGTGTTTGGTATTCTCAGTCTTTATGTCCATTTTTCCTGGTGCCACTTTGGTTTCTTTTTTTTTTTCCTGATAACCATTATTTAGTGATTTAAATTTAGACCCTCAGTGTAAATTTAAGTGACTGTGTTAGCTTTTCCAGATATATTTTTACTTTATCTCTTATTTCATGATGTGTAATTAAGAGACTTTTGTTCACTTTAAAGGAAGTAATTTAGAAAAGGTAAGGAAGCTCCCTGAAGACATACTCCATAGATTCTACTGATTTTATTCAGGCTTCTTTTTTTTTTTTTTTTTTTTTTTTTTTTTTTTTTGTGGACGAGGTTCTGGGGCCCCAAGAGCAGGGGCCCCGGAAGTCGCCCTATTCAGGCTTCTTTAAGATCATCTTTCTATAGCATAAACAGGTGTTATTTCTTTGCTTTAAAATCCTCCAGTGATATCCCATTGCAACAGTGTTAAGATCTGAACTTCATTTACTATGGTCTACAAGATCCTGTAACATGTGCTCTGCTTACCTTTCAGGCTTTGTTTATTTATTTATTATTTATTTATTTATGTATTTATTTTTTTAGAGACAGAGGCTCAGTCTGTTGCCCTGGCTAGAGTATAGTGGGGTCATCATAGCTCACTGCAACCTCAAACTCAAGCAATCCTCCTGCCTCAGCCTCCCAAGTAGCTGGGACTATAGGCGCATGCCACCATGCCTGGCTATTTTTTCTACTTTTTTTTTTTTTTTGAGACAGAGTCTCACTTTGTTGCCCAGGCTAGAGTGAGTGCCATGGCGTCAGCTTAGCTCACAGCAACCTCAAACGCCTGGGCACAAGCTATCCTACTGCCTCAGCCTCCCAAGTAGCTGGGACTACAGGCATATGCCACCATGCCCAGCTAATTTTTTCTATATATATTAGTTGGCCAATTAATTTCTTTCTATTTATAGTAGAGACAGGGTCTTGCTCTTGGCTCAGGCTGGTTTCGAACTCCTGACCTTGAGCAATCCACCCGCCTCGGCCTCCCAGAGAGCTAGGATTATAGGCGTGAGCCACCGCGCCCGGCCTTTTTCTATTTTTAATAGAGATAGGATCTCACTCTTGCTCAGGCTGGTTTTGAACCCCTACTTCAAGGGATCCTCTTGCCTTGACCTCCCCAGAGTGCTAGGATTACAGGCTTGAACCACCTCACCAGGCCCTCTCAGGCTTCTTTAAATTCTACCTTGTTTCTCATCATTTAGATCCAAGCTTAAATATTAACTTCTTCAGAAAGGTCTTCTCTATCACTTTATTTCATGTGGTCCCTTCAGTTGCTATCACATCACCTTATTTTCAGTATAAAATTACATTATTTGTTATATGTTTATTGTCTGTCTTCTCCCCACCAGTCAATAGAGATGTTCTTGTGTGCTGCTGTATCCCCAAACAACTAGAACATTGCTTGGCATACAGTTAGCAATCAGTAAATATTTCAATATTTGCCAATATCATGTTGCGAAATAGTTAATCAAGAACTTAAGGACCAGAATTGTTTTTGTTTCTGTTTATCAGAAAGAAACATTTATAATTTAGTGAAGAAATTATAGGCAGGTTCAGGATATGACTTACATGAAGTTGATGTGCAAGTTGACCAGATTATCATTTCTGGACTTTTTTTCTCCCCCTCTTTTTTTTTTTTTTTCTTAAGGAGACGAGTCTCCTTCGGTCACCCAGGCAGGAATGCAATAGTACCTTCATAGCTCACTGCAACCTCCAACTCTTAGACTTAGATTTTAATGATCCTCCTACCTCAGGAAGGGACTTCAGGCTCTTGCCAGTGCACTGGGCTTAATTTACAAAAATCAATTTAAGAAAATTAGACCTAGGTTCATTATTTTGTTTTGTTTTGTTTTGTTTTGTTTTGTTTTTGAGACAGAGTCTCACTTTGTTGCCTGGGCTAGAGTGCCATGGCATCAGCCTAGCTCACAGCAACCTCAAACTCCTGGGCTCAAGCAATCTTTCTGCCTCAGCCTCCTGAATATCTGGGACTATAGGCACACACCACCACACTCGGTTAAAAATTTTTTCTATTTTTAGTAGAGATAGGGTCTCACTCTTGCTCAGGCTGGTCTCAAACTCCCAATCTTAAGCAGTCTTCCTGCATCTGCCTCCTTGAGTGCTAGGATTATAGGCTTGAGCCACTGTGCTTGGCCTAGACCTAGGTTCAGATCTTAACTCCATCACTTAATACTGGGTGACACTATGCAAAATACTTAAAACTGTGAGCTTCAATTTCTCATGTACAAGTAGGGATAATGATCTGATAGGTTTGTTGTTAGATTTAAGAAGATAACGCATGCATTTTAGCTTAGGGCCTAGCACATAGAAAACATTCCAATTATTTATTATTGATGGTGATCTGGATAGTCTGAGGATCCTGAGTATTCACAATAATTACAGCAATATTTTGTTTTGGGTGCAGTGCTAGTAATTATGTTTGTGGGAGATGAATTGGACCAGTCTTTCTGTGGTGGATTTGCAAATGCTTTGAAAAACTGATAGGACAGAGTAGAAAATATTGTGTTCATGATATCTCCATTTTGTCTTTTTTCTAACAATTAG